TATCAAGAGAAAAAAAGCACTTTCCTGAGCCAAAAAACCCAGCATAAAGCAGAGTGGAGTCAGGGCTTGAGAATCTTTGTTTCATCCCTGTCTTTGATCTCAGCTTCTGCTCCCGACCATCAGTTCGATCCCTCTGGTCTCTGTGAGCCTGTTTTCTCCCCTCCAGTTAGTGAGAATTACCACATCCGTCAATCCTTATCTGAGCAGTGAGGTTTTCCTCCCCAGCCTCCTGCTCTTTGGCTGTGAAGCCCATCCGCACCACAGCCTGTGGGGCCCGTCATGGGCGCTGCTTTGCCAATGGCCTCGAGTTCCTGATGGGGACTGGGATGGGGTGATGAGAGTGGAAAACCCCTCCTTGTCCTGGGGGATGCCTGGACTCCATGTGCTGTGTGATCTCCTACATAACACATGGGTGCTGTGTGCTTGGGATGCGTAGGGACATCTGGAGCCCTTGGATCAGACCCAGCAGTGGGTGTTCAGAGGGGCCGGGGGCATGGGCTGCCCTTGACCCACTGCAGGACACGGGTTGTCCTGGCAGGAAGCTCCCTGCGAGCTCTGGGAAGTCAGTGTCCATCCGCTCCTGCCGGGATGGGATAAACACCAGGGGAGGGCTTGTCCAGGCCGGGAAGTGGAAAACAGAGTGGGAAAAAGCAGCAGTTGTTCTCCTGGAGAGACGATTGCACAAGAGGAGCCCAGCGCACGCCAGCCCCTTGCCTCCTCTCACGCGCCACTTCGCTTCCTGTAACGCCGAGGCTGCTTCTCCCCACTAAAGCTCAGCTGTCAGAGGGACATACCAGGCGCCTGCCAGCCCCGCTGCAGTCAGGTGATGGCCTGAACGTCCTGCCTCTCCCCGTGCCCTCATCTCTCAAACCTGAGGAGCAGCGAGGAGCAAGGACAAGTTCACCGCTGAGCCCGGACCGGCCACGCACAGCGCCCAGGTGAGGTCCAGAGGGGCTCCTGCACCAGCACTGGCCTCATGCTTGATGCCGGATGGTGGGATACCATTAGGAAGGCTCCGAGCACAACCTGGCTTGTGGGACGGGACAGGAGCAGGGGGCACCTGGGGGACCCGGAGCGAACCTCTGGAGCAACCCAGGTCTGCAAATAATGAGCCTCGTGGCTTCTAGTTCTCCATCGCACTCGTGGCATTGCCAGAGCACAGGGCTGGGCAGCAGAGGGGTGGATGGGGTTTGGTTGAAAGGCAGAAATTGGGCAGGGAGTGAGGAAGCACCTACCCTTTCCCATGGGATGTGGTGGCACCGTGTCCCCCTGTCCTGCGGCGCAGTCTCATGTCCCGCTGCTGCCCCACTCCATCGCCCAATGTCCATGCAAGCCCCAGGGAGGGGCAGGGGGCTGCCAGCACAAGACACGGCAACTCCTGTCCCTTCCTATCCATCCTGCTGCTTCCCACAAAGCGGCCAAATAAATCCTTCAGTGCAGCAGCTTTGCTGCTTCTCCGTGAGGGATGTGGGGACCAGACATCAACTTTATGAACATCATCTTCTTTCAGGAAAGGAAATGTAAGATAAAAGATCTGAGGGGAATCTGCAAGGATTTATGGCAGGATGGTTGGAGCTGGGTTCCTTGCCGAGAGCTGAGCTCTTTGCTCCCAGCATGGTGCTGCCCTTCAACTATTTCTGACTTTGGCTGTAGCCAAGGGAAGCACAGGAAAAGGCAGGTTTGAAGGTTCATTGAAGGTTGCAGTGTGTTTGCCTGCCCGTGCGATCAGCCCAGGTCTGCCTTGAGCCCTGTGGAGATGGGCGCTGAGCTGGAACCAGAAGGATTTTCCTTATGGCCAAGGAATTTGGAGGGACAAGGTGAAAGATTGAAGGGAAACAAGCAACTGGGCTTTGGCTTTGCAAAGGGCACCCGCACTCTGCTCTTGGGCTGGGCTGGTGCTTGGTGCAGGAGCTGGATGTGATTCCAGGTCGGCTCCAGTACCAAGAGCAATGGGCGTACAGAGCTCTTCAGGTTAGCAGCGATGTGCTTTTCTTGCCTTTTAATGGAATATAAAGAGTAATTAGCAACCAACTTGAGATCCAGCTTCACAGCAGGGTCCCTCAGGGTGCTGCGGAGAGCCAGGTCCCCAGGGGGAAGGTGCTGACCACAACATCTGAGACCAAGAACATGGTCTTGTGCTGACAGAGCGCTTGGTTTTAAAGTGCTTTTGCTTTTTAATATCCCAAAGCATTCCTG